GGTGCAACAATGAATGAATGGAATCCCAAAATCTCTGTAGATGTTCATTGAAATGAAAAATAAACAACCTAAATTTAAAAAACAAAAACAAAAAAAAAGCTGTGTTCAGTTAATATAATCCATTCTCATGAAATTATGTAAAAAATTTTTATTTAAATCGACATTGCCTTTCAGAGAATATTCAATAAATATAATGTAAAATATTAAAAAAATAGCCTATGGAAATAAGCTAAACCATGCATATTGTGTTTTAAATATAAAAAATGTTACATGAAATTTCAAAAGCCTGGGAATACTCTGCCCTACATATCATCTCATGTGGGCCTCCCAGCACTCTGAGAGAGTCAGTACAGGGACCACAACGCCTGCAAAGCTTCTGTAAGGCTCAAAGAGTTAAATGACTTACTCCTATTTAATGTATTATAAATTTCTGTCTCCATTTTATTAATAAATGATACCAAAGCTTTTGTGACTTTTGTATCCGAAATACTACAAGTTCTGAAAGTTTGCCAGCTATCTTTTCACCTGTTTTGCTATTGCTAAAGCCTGGGACAGAGGGAGTTCTGGTCGCCTAATGATAAGGAGTTCCACTGATAACCCAAAGACTTGCTGCTCGATTCCACCACCTGCTCTGTGGGAGAGAAATCTCTCTGGAGGGTCAGCTGTGAGTCAGTTCAGACTCAATGGCATACAACAAGAACAAGACATGAGAAGGAGCTTTAGAAGACTCCCCAACACATTGTTCCATCTCTAAAATACTTAGTTTCTTTCGAAAAAAAAAAGTTGCTATCTAGAACAAAGGTGTAAATATATGTAATACACCAGCCGCAGGACTTGGCATGTTCTAAACACTCAGGAGCCGTCATTCTTTTTTTTTTTTTCTATAATTATATTTTATTAATTTTCATAAACATTTACAGAGATTTTGGGCTTCCACTCATTCATTGTTGCACTATTCTCTCTACCCTCCTCCCAGTTTGTTCTTGTCCAAATGCCACAGTGCTTGTCAAAGCCAGTTCTGATTAATCTTCTTTGTCAGTGTGTCCTTTGCCATTCCCTATCACTCCTCCCTGAGAGAGACTTCACCCTGAGTCATAAGGAAAAGGGGACGGCGTATTCTCTTAGCTACTTCCTGCTGAAAAGGGACGCTGTGGGTTTCAGGGTGAAGATCTTCTCTCACTACTCTAAAGGGCCCCTTTGGCAGTAGGAAACACATAGACTATTATGGAGATTGATTTTGGAATTCAGATGCACTCTTATTGATTGTGCTTGGCTGTACATGTACATATCCTTCAAGATGTATCATGGGGGTGTTGCAACCTAGAAGACACAAATTTGACTAACAAGTTATAAGTACATGAGTCCAAAAATTATGGAAAAGTAAAAGAAAAGATTCTTTCATTGTTTTACAAACCCTCCCCCAGGTCCCCTCCACCATGCAGCCCTCGCTCTAGTCTCCTGTGATGACAGAAATACCCAGTTACATCTCTCTTTTAAACGGTTCTCTCCCTTCTCTGTTTCAGTGCAGTATACATTATTGAACCCATCTTACTCAGTCTCTCCCCAACCCCAAGGACAGTCCCATTCTACAACAGTAGGAGCCGTCATTCTGGCCTGGTATATTGCTGAATTTATGTTAACATACTGTCTTAAGACTTAAGAGTATGTGTGATAATTTTTATTCTTTCCCCTAGGTACAACAAAAATTTAGAGGAAGCTAAAAGAATTGGGATAAAGAAAGCTATTACAGCTAACATTTCTATTGGTGCTGCTTTCCTGTTGATCTATGCGTCCTATGCACTGGCTTTCTGGTATGGGACCACATTGGTCCTCTCAGAAAAATATTCTATTGGGAAAGTACTTACTGTAAGTAATATTATATTAAGATAAACCAAATTAAGAATGTTAGTGAAATTGAGTGCCTGTGACCAGGCTTCAGAAAAATATATTTTTGAATGATGCAAAAAACCTCAAGATTCTTCGATTAAGACATGGAAAAGAAAAGAAAAAAGTCAAAGGAAAGGATATAAAATGTTCGATGCTGTCAAGTCACCTTCCACTCATAGGGACCCTAGAAGAACAGATAAGAACTTTGCCCTACATTGTACCATCCTCCTTATCTCTAAAATGCTCGACCCCATTGGTACAGGCACCATGTCAGTTCATCGAGGGACTTCCTCTTTTGCTCTGACCTTTCCCAGCATGATATCTTTCCCCACAGTTCCTCCTGACACCATGCCCAAAAGTATATGAGAAGTTTTACAATCCTTGCCTCTAACACCCTGGTTGCATTTTCTCCAAGACAGATATGTTTTGTTCTATTGGTAGTCCATAAGATAATCAATAGTCTTCTCCAACACCACAATTCGAAGGCATCGGTTCTTCTTTCAACTTTATTTATTGTCAGGTTTCAGATATATAGGAAGCATATATAGGATCCTATATATAAGATATATAGGATTCATGACTTGGATCAGGTGTGCTTTAATTCTTGAACTTTGCATCTGGTAGACCCATCTACCAGCTCTGTCTTGGAGGAAATGCAACCATTGTGCTCTTTAGAGGTGAGGATGGGACTACTTCACCTCATATGCTTTGGGTGTGTTGTCGGGAGAAACAAGTCCTTGAAGACGATTACGGGATGGATTGACACAGTGACTGTAACAATGGGTTCAAGCACATTTGAAATTGTGAGGATGGTGTAGGAAAAGGGGTGGTTCCAATCTGTGCTTCCTTGGGCCACCACACGTGGGAGCTGACTTGATAGCACCTAGTAACACAAACAGTTTTATTGTTACTTTTGCAAATCCCTTGCACAAAATCTCCTGTAGACCAAACAATGTGAATCTTGCCAGTCCTTGTAAGATGTATTCTCTTTTCTTGAGATTATTTCTTTGTTCTGGACTCTGTCTGCTAAGTGCTTCAGTTTTCTCTTTTACTCTTCACAGCAAATGGCTAAATACACAGAGTAACTTTATTTCACTTTCATCCAATAATAGGTGATCACTTCATGAATTTATATAAGCATAAATCTGCACTCTTTCTAAAAGAGTATTATATTTAGAGGTTCTCCACGTTATCATCCTCAGTATAATCACAGAAAGTTTGCTTTTGGATACCATCTTGTCTTACCTAACTAAAGACAATGAAATAATTGACAAACTAAGCTCAATATGTATCTTGAACTAATGCAGTACATAATGAACATTTTGTAATAATGTACTTCCCTTTTTATAGGCCAATCAAATGTATATTGCATTAAAAAGAGACTGTATTTGATTTTAAATGAGTCCAGGTGGCTGCATCTAACTGCCATTAACTGAACAGTCACCATTTGTAACATCTGCAACATAAAACATTCCAATGAGGTCAGACAAAGCTTTAGGCTCTTGACACCTACTCCTAACAGTTATACATCAACTGTCCCTCTCTCTGGCTTCTCTACTACTGAGTCCACTAATGTGTTGCAATGTCCACATAAAACTCACAGAAACACACTCGCGGTGATGGGGTTTATTAGTGAAGCTTAAGAAGAGAGCTCTGGTGGCCTAGTGGCAAAGAAGCTGCACTGCAGTCCTGAAGACATGTGGTTCGAGGCCACCAACTGCTCCGCGGGAGAAGATGGGTAATCTCCTCCCATGCGATTAATTGCCTCTGAAAGCCCGCCGGAGGGTCAGCTATGGGTTGTTTCCAACTTGGTACACAACAACAACAACAACAACAAGAGGTTACAAGAGTACAGTTGCACTCCCAGGCCAGTGTTCCCATTTTAGGTCAGCGTTAACAAAGCTCTGTTAGTCTTGCCAGTTATGCTGTCTTCTTCTCCTCCCTTGTGATTTACTGCCTCTGGAAACCCACCGGAGGATCAGCTATGGGTTGGTTCCGATGTGATGGCAAATAGTAATAACAACCATCTCCCACCACAGCTCCTTCGGTAAGCTTGGGTAGAGGCTCACAAGATTGGCTCCAGCTCCGTGGAGCAGCAGTCTCAGATCAGCTCTGTCTGAAGTTAAATCTGTGGTTCTCTGCTGCTGCCCTTGTCTAGGCCCCAGTCAGATTGGCACAGGAATCACTTGTCCATAAGGATATGCCCTGCATTCTCTACTGCTTTCTTGCTAGTGGCATGAATCCCCTCTTCTCCCTCTAAACCTGCACACTTTAAACTTAGCAGGATGGTAAAACTAGACGATCTCCTCCTTAATAATCTGTACCCCATTTGCAAGTTCCCACCTAGCCATGCTAAGACTTGTTGTGTGCTATAGAGTCAGAATCAACTCATAACCAACTCCGCCGGGTTTTTCAGAAGTAAATCATGTGGGAGGAGAGTCCCCATCTTTCTCTCCTGGAGCATCTGGTGGATTCAAACTGTGTTCCTTTTGGATTACAATACAGCTTCTTACCACTAGGCCTTCATAGCACCACGTAGCCATCAGGAAAAGTCAAAGGCCGTTAACAATCTAGAAAAGCTGTTTTGAACAATAAACTTGTTACACCACATTTGATTACTTAATAATTTTTAATAAGCCTCAGTTACTTCATCTGACAAATGGAAAAAAAGTTTAGTATTGCAAGAATTTAGTTAATGGACATAGTATCCCGTAGCAAAATTATTCTTATGTTATTGAATAATAAAGCTCCTATAGGACTTAAAAAGACATGGATGACATTAGTAGGATTCTTTAGCCAAGCCAAGCCACTACCAATGATAAATTGACTTGTGCAAAACAAAACCCCTGAAAGCCTGTTTATCAAACCCCATTGAATGTGTGGTATGGATGGGGGATGGGGTGTAGGCAGGGATTTCACCTGAAGAAGAATAATGCCTTAAATATGTGTGTTTCATAATTTATAAAGTATTTTCATATAAACTGTTTTAGCAGATTTATGTGGTTGCTAGATAGTGATAAAATATGTAATCTTGCCCATTTTTTTGTAGCATAGGAAGATGAGACTCAAAGATTGTAAAACTGACTCAAAGAATACAGTTTTAGTTCCAATCTGGATTTTTTTACTATCTTAATATTTGCTTCAAATTTACTTTACTATGGTGGCCTAGTGGGTAAGAGTTGCACTGTCAACCCAAACATACATGGTTCAAATCCACCAGCTGGTCCATAGAAGAAAGATATACAGTCTTCTGTGCAGTTTACTGCCTTTGAAAACCCACTGAGTCAGCTATGAGTACGTGCCAACTCAATGTTTTATAATAAGTACAACTACCTGCTGCTGGTCTAAGTTGAAATTCTTAGCTGTTGAACTACTATGAAAATATTCTGTTATAATATGATGGTTCTGTAGAATTTATATTATTATTTCATTCAGCAGTTAAGACTGATAATGCTTTTTAAAGGAAAAAGTACTTAAAATCTTACCTTCTTGGGAGGGCATCTTGTATTTATTCATCTTTGCTATTTTAAATGTGATTAGCTAAATTGAAAAATAAAAAGGGAAGAACTCACAAAAATTGTATGAAAACTAGTCAACATGACATTTTCTTTTGCTTTCCTAAGGTTTTCTTTTCTGTACTGATTGGAGCTTTCAGTATTGGGCAGGCATCGCCAAGCATCGAAGCATTTGCAAACGCAAGAGGAGCAGCTTATGAAGTCTTCAGGATCATTGATAATGTAAGTCTAAGAGAGCTGTTTATCTATTTACCTAAAAGTTATTCCATTTGAGAATAAAATTCCTTATTATCTCAGCCTTTCCTAAAAATACAACTTAAAGTTATAAGTTAGTAATCTTTTTAATTTTCATTCTCTGTAGGAGCCAGGCATTGACAGCTATTCAGAAAATGGACACAAACCAGATAATATTAAAGGAAATTTGGAGTTCAGAAATGTTCACTTTAGTTACCCATCTCGAAAAGAAGTTAAGGTATGATGTTTAAACAGTGTACTGGCTCAAACACCGTAAAAGGAGCAAGGGCCACATGGGGACAGCCTTATCTGCCCTTACTAATTCCAAAAAAAAAAGGGGGGGAACTGTCTCCATCAACAGCACCAAATCCCACGAGGTCAGCAATGTCCTCCACATTCCCACACCTGTTTCTACTCATCCCCACATCTGTCTTATTACTTTACTGCATCAAAAATCTGTTGCAATAGCTCACAGAACCATATTAGAAATGTCAAAAGGCTCTAACTTTAAGAGTCTATAAAAATATACATATCTAAACCCAGTGTTAAATTAAGCTGCCAATTGGTAGACCTTGTATCTGTCAGTTGCACCGATGTTTACTTGTCTTTTGTCCTGATAGATCTTGAAGGGTCTCAACCTGAAGGTTCAGAGTGGACAGACAGTGGCCCTGGTTGGCAACAGTGGCTGTGGGAAAAGTACCACAGTTCAGCTGATGCAGAGGCTCTATGACCCCACAGAAGGAACGGTGAGATGGCTTTTGCTGAGCTGGTTATGCTGTGGTGATCAGTGGTTACCTTTGCAGATCTTTCTGACTTGTCATTTCAACCTTAACTGTATGAATAACACACTCTTTGAATTTCAGGTCAGTATCGATGGCCAGGACATTAGGACTATTAATGTGAGATATCTGCGGGAAATTACTGGTGTAGTGAGTCAGGAACCTGTGTTATTTGCCACCACTATAGCTGAAAACATTCGCTATGGCCGTGAAGATGTCACCATGGATGAAATTGAGAAAGCTGTCAAAGAAGCCAATGCCTATAACTTTATCATGAAACTGCCTCAGGTAAGTTGTCCTTTATTTTTATCATACTGACTACTCCAACAGTGTTGTTGTAGTTAGGTACCGTTGAGTCCAGTATGACCCATAGCAACTCTATAAACAACAGGTCTGAACCCTGCCCTATCCTGTGCCTTCTTCACACTTCCTGACACACTAGAGCCCATTGCAGCAGTCACGGTGTCTGTCCAGCTGGTTGAGGGTCTTCCTCCTTTGCTGACCTTTTCAAGCATTATGTCCCTCTCAAAAAAAAAAAAAAAATGTAGCCTCTTCTAGCAACACTCCAAAGTGTGTGAGGTGAAGCTTTAACATCCTTGTCTCCAAGGTACACTCTGGCTGTACTTTCTCCAAGATATACTTATTTGTTCATTTGGAAGTCTTTGGGATGTTCACTACCCTTCTCCAACACTACAGCTCAAAGGCATCAATTCTTCTGCCATCCTGATTCATTTTCCAACTCTCAGATGCATAGGAAGAATGTGAAGAAGAATTTGGCATCAAGTTCCGAGGAAGACTCATCAGTAACCTATGTTATGCAGATGACACAACCTTGCTTGCTGAAGATAAGGAGGACTTGAAACACTTGTTGCAGATCAAAGAATACAACTTTCAGTGTGGTTTGCATGTCAATGTCAAGATAACAAAAATTCTTACCACTGGACAAATAGGAAACATGATGGAGAAAAGATTGAAACTGTCAACACTTCATCTTACTTTAGCTCCACAATCAACACTCTTGGTACCAGCAGTCAGGAAATCAGGAGCTGTATTGTGCTGGGAAAATCTACAGTCAGGGACCTCTTCAAATTATTGAGGAGCAATGATGTCAGTTTGAGGACCACAGTGTGTCTGATTCAGGTCTACGCTGTGTCTGATTCAGGTCATACTCTTTCAGACTACTTACCGTGCATCTGAGAGCTGGACAGTGAATGTCTCAGAGAATAGCGTGCTGAAAAATATATAGGATGTTAAGAACCAGCTAATATAAAGATGAACCTCGTAAAAAATTATGTCAAACTGCTTCAGCTTTTAAAGCTCATACAGGATTAACTGTTAATAGATAAAATTTTAAAAACTGAAATTTGTTGTTGAGTTTTAAAGAACTGGACTGTGCAACTGGGACTGTTTATAGAATTACTTCCTGTGTTTAAATTTGAACTGACAAACATCTTCTTTTGCTAACTCTTCTTGTATATTCTGTGTTGTAGAAATTTGACACGTTGGTTGGGGAAAGAGGGGCCCAGCTCAGTGGAGGACAGAAACAGAGAATTGCCATTGCAAGAGCACTAATCCGAAACCCCAAAATCCTTCTCCTGGATGAGGCCACGTCAGCTTTGGACACAGAAAGTGAAGCTGTGGTTCAGGAGGCCCTTGATAAGGTCTGTACGCCGTCAGTTCAAACGGATTTGATTTAGAGGCATATGAATGTTGTTCTTACTGCAGTTGTTGTTGTTAGGTGTCACTGAGTCAAATACAACTCATAGTGACCCAGGGAACAGCTGACCTGAACCCTGTCCTATCCAGTTCTATCTTCATCATCTCTGACACACTAGAGCCCATTACTGAAGTAGCCGTGTCAATCCCTCTCATTAGATGTCTTTCCCTCCTTCCCTGACTGTCCATCTTTCCAAGCATAATATTCCTTTCTAAGGAATAGCCTCACTTAGCTACATGTCCAGAGTATAAGAAGCAAAACTTCAATTTCATTGCTTCCGAAGAGCACTCTGGCTGCACTTTTTCCAAGATATATTTGTTTGTTCTTTTGGTAGTTCATGGAATAGCCAACACTCTTCTCCATTACCACAACTCAAAGGTATATCAATAGCCCACTGCTAATTCCTCTTGAAACATCTACTATTATCAACAGTTATTTTCCCAAGACTAGGTCATTATGCTAGAACCAGTGTTATGTGAAAATGTAGGTTGACTATATAAGATCACAAAATAGAGTGTGACAGTATCGTTACATAGGAAGTTCTAGAGGCTTCGTGACTGAAGAGAGAGCTGCCAACACAAAGGCAGGCAATTCAGATTCACCAATGGCTCCATGGGACAAGGATGGGCATTCTCCTCCTGTGCAAGGTATCCCCTTTGAAAACCCACTGTAGATCTGCTGTGAGTTAGTTCTGACTTGATGGCATGTAAGAAGAGAATGCCTTCTGTTTCTGTGGTCTGTTAGTATGGTAAAAGTGGAGTTTGGCCCAGGAAAGCATCCTGTTATAACCAGATACCTTCTTTTTATAATAGTTCTGAAGTGATTCTTTTAAATATTAAAAGTAACAAGCCTCTTTGGAGTTATTTTTTATGTTTATTTCTCTGACCTTTTAAAAAGCAGCAGTGAGTATAATAATAAAAGAACTTTTTTCCCCAAGAAAAAAGCAGTGGGGGTGGGAGAGAGGGGCAGGGAGGAAAATGCAACAAAGAAAGATTGGAAACCCAAGTTCTTTATAAACTTTAATTAAAATATCAGTAAAAACTAAAAAAATAAATAAAACCAGTAAAAACACAAAAAAGGGGTAGTAGCAATGAATATAAGGTTTTAGAAATGATATTAAATGAAAAATGTGAACTTGAAGGAAAATTGGTCTTCACTATGATCTTGAAAACTTGGCTGTTGGGCTAACCTGTTACTTAATCTTTCTGAGTTTATAGTACAGTGACTCTTCACTGACTGGCATGGCTATAAGTTCTAAAGACTAGGTGGTTACGTGAAAATTTGAATTATATGAAAATGGAGTTTTGAGAACTTTTTTCCTGTTTTCAGATCACCCAGTTGGCCATTGTTTTAATTTTAAAAATGTGGTTATAAGATTGATGGATGTGCACATCACTATGATGAGTCCAGTTAGGGGCTATTTCTCTTTGAAGAAGGTGGGAGAAGACAAAGCTGACTAAAACTTTGCTATGTGACTGGAGGGGCCCAGAGCTGGAAGGCACTTCTTCTTCCTGTGCTGAGTCAGCGCTTCCCTGGAGAAACCACTTCCAAGGCTTCATAGCCACACGTCCAGCCCTGTTTTCATAATCCCAGAGCTGTTCTGCCTTCGAGGTCTGGCAAGCCACAAAAGCTCAGGGCTTCCTGCAAGAGTGCTGGGAAGCTGCCCAAAACTCCAGCCGCACCAAAGTTAAAGCAAATCATGTTAGGCTCACTTTGAGACAACATGAAACTTGCGTGCATTTCTTCCTAATTACCTCTCTGATGCTTCTTTCCTCTCTCTGTGGTGCATTTCTGAGCTGAAGGGCTTCAGGCCACTTAGGAGCTGGAAAGCCATTACTGGGCACCTGCTAACTCAGTGCTGTGTGACCATCATGTCCACCAGCAGCAGAGGGAGCATACGGGACAACATGGCCCAGGTTCTTCCAGGTTCCCCGGAGACTCTCCTTGGTGGGGCATCTGTGCATTTGTTGCCAACATGAAGAACTTGAGCCAGTCAGAGGTTAAAAGCTGGATAAATCCTGGCTCATAAATATCAAGACCAAGATTTGATCTCCTCTTCAGTGTGGCATTAAAACTGTGCTTTAGTGTCTCACATTGATTATTTGTCAGGATCATATAAATAGCCCTGTGAGATAGGGCATTATGGTTCATAAGACTGATCCCTAACTGGGTATACACCAGATAGCAAATTGGCCAAGATCCGTTAGTGATTGGTCAGTGCCTGAGATGTGTGGAGTTGTGTATGTTAGTTTAAGTCCCTGACTTTATTTCAGACTTAGGCTGATAGGAAAGATGTAAAATAGATGTTTACATAATATCAATATGTGAATGTGGCATTTGACTTCTCATAATAAAACATGGAAAATCATTATTCATTGACTGTACTTTTACCAAAGTCAGAGGCTCCTATAGATTTGACAGATTCAGTGCCCAAAATAATTATGCTCAACAAATATAAGTTGGATGAATAGCTTTTTTTTTAAAAAAAATGTAATTGTTCATTTATTCAAAAGCTGTACTTCTCTGCTTTAGGCTAGAGAAGGGCGAACCACGATTGTGATAGCACATCGTTTGTCTACGGTCCGAAATGCTGATGTCATCGCTGGTTTTGACGACGGGGTCATTGTGGAGAAAGGAAATCATGATGAGCTCATGAAAGAGAAAGGCATTTATTTCAAACTTGTCACTATGCAGGTATTTTCTAAAATTTTTTCAGGTGTAAAGTAATTGTCTTTTTAATGGTATAAATAAATGTTGCTAGTCTGCATTATCGTAAAAAGCAGGGGGGGGGAAGACCTTAAGGAACCTGAAGTCAGACCAGTTGTTTTAGGTTTTATTTTTTAGAAGATGAAAAATAAATAAGGATAATGTAAGACAATTTTTTTAAAAAAAATGTTTATAGAAGTTATAAAGCTGGCAATACAGTAGAAGGTTTGAATATGAATTGAATTGTTGTAAGTGGAAAATACATACTGAATCCTAATGGCTTTGGAGGGGGGAGAAAAAGAGTATGGAAAGTATATCTCATTAATCACTTTATATTGAATATATCCTAAGTTGATTATTTTTAATATAGTGGATTAAAGAAAATATTTCATTAAAATTGTTTTTTGTCCCCTTTTATAGTTTTTTTAATGACTGCCAAAAAATTTAAAATGACAAATGTGACTCACACTTATGACTTAAACCATATTTCTGTTGAGAGCATTTGTCTAAAGTGTTTATGATGGAGCCAAACATCAACAAAAAAGAGGAGTGATTTAGATAGATAAGACACATGGAATGGATGCCTTGTTTCAGTGTTACTTATGGGATATCTTTCTTGTTTTGTGGTTTTAACTTTCATTATTTTTTAACTTCCAAATATATCATAAAACTGATAGCAGTGCAACTTTAACCTTTTCCTCTAATTGTTTAAGCAAATTATTATTTTCTTCTTCATTGAATGATTTCATTAGATCACTGAGCTAATGCATATTGTTCATTTAGACAAAAGGAAATGAAATTGAAGAAGAAAGTACAACTAGTGACTCTGAAAGTGATGCCTTGGAAATGTCTCCAAAAGACTCAGAATCTAGTCTCCTTAGAAGAAAATCAACTCGCAAGAGTGTCCGTTCTCCACAAACCCAAGATGGAAACCTTAATACAACTGAAGAGGGCCTGGTATGGAGTATATATATTTTGTCTTAAATTCTCTCACTGAGATTTTGTTTAGTGAACTGGGCATTGGGTAAGGGTGTTATCCAGAAGGAGTTATCCAGAATCTTCCTGTCTTGTCCTCCAAAATGTTCTCCCTCAACATTGAAAATGAATTTAGAAATTTAGGATTTTTTATTTTTAATTAGAATTTTAGAATACAATGTAAAGATGGATTTCCAGATTTCTTTTCTGTTTATCCCTATATTTTGTGTTCCAAATTCCGGGTAAGTTAAATTCTTCTGGAAACATCTATTCTCTTAAAAATAAAGGCTTAATGAATCTATCAACACCTTTATTTGATGATAAGTAGACATCATTTGTTAAAGAAATAAGACTAGGATTTTTTTAATTGTAAAAATTTGCCCATAAGGAAAAAATATGTACAAAATGAATTATGTATAAATCTTTTTTTAATGGCCCATTGTAATATTTTATGCTTTCCAGGATGAAAGTGTACCCCCAGTTTCCTTTTGGAGAATCATGAAGCTCAATACAACAGAATGGCCTTACTTTGTGGTTGGTATCATCTGTGCCATTATTAATGGAGGTCTGCAACCAGCATTTTCAGTAATATTTTCAAGGATTATTGGGGTAAGGATATAAGTCTGTTTGTTTATATTTACTTGTGATTTTTGATAGAATGAACTATTTGTATTTGTGAGTATACTAAAACAATACACACACATGTGCACACAGACACATAGAGTACTTGTATATGAACATAAGCAGATTGAATATATGTGAGTAGCAGTCTGGTTTATAATAGCAAAATGAATTATTTTGGCCTTCGTATAACTTGGTAATAAGTATTAACCTTAGGACAGGGATACCAGTTTCTTCAGAAAGTCAGTGAAGCAGATTAGGTTATTCTCCCATAGCTCTCATACTTCTCATATTCCTCTGAAGAAGACTCATGAGCTGATATATCTTCTTTGTATAAAGAATTTCTCATGTTTGTCAGGCCCTGCTTATGGGAGATATCTTCCCTAAAACACACTTATTAAGATGTCCATTCACCTTGTTAGGATTAGAAAGAAAAAGAAATGCCTTCCTAAAGATCAAGGTTGGCATTTGTTGGCTGTCCTTGACTGTCATGGTGACATTTACAACTGTACAGCTTTACTTGATTCCACAACCAACACTCTTGGTACCAGCAGCCAGGAAATTAAAAGACAAATTTCATTGGGAAAGTCTGCTGTCAGAGACCTCTCCAAAGTACTGAAGAATGACGATGTCAGTCTGGAGACTAAGGTGCACCTGACCCAGCCCTAGTCTTTGCAATTACTTGCTCTACAACAGAGAGCTGGACAGTGACTAGGGATGGAAGGAGAATTGATGACTTTGAGCTGTGGTGCTGGAGAAGAGTGCTAAATATACTATGGACTGCTAGGAGAACAAACAAGTTCATCCTGGAGAGGATGAAACCAGGCTGCTCCTTGGAAGCAAGGATTCTGAAGCTTTGTCTGACCTACTTTGGACATGTTGTGAGGAGGGACAAGTCCTTGGAGAGGGATGTCATACTTGGGAAGGTGGAGGAACAGTGCAAGAGAGGAAGACCCTCAATGAGATAGATTGATTCAGTGTCTGGGGTAATGGGAGGATAGATGTATTCGAGACAGTAAGATTGGCACAAGATAGATCAGGGTTCAGAGCTGTTGTACATAGTATCGCTATGAGTTGCCAGCACATAACAACTGCAGCAATAGCTTAGAATATGAGCAGGAATGTTCTTGATTTAGTACCAGTACCACAGTTGGTAGGGACTGTGCTGCTAACCCAAATGTGGTGTCTCTCTGGTGGTTTGAATCCACCAAGAACTCCACAGGAGAAAGAAGGACAGTCTCCTGCAATGTGATTTACAGCCTCTTGAAAACCTTGCTCGTGGGTCAGCAATGGGTAACTTCTAACCAATAACAATGAGAGTTTATGAGTTCACATGTCAAGCCTGGGAACTTCTTTACCAAACTGCTGAACATGTGGAGAAAGAGATGAGTCACCACAAGAAACACAGGCCAGACACCAACTTTTATTAACAAAAGAAGAATAGTCAGGTCTAACCTAGCTAACAGTGATATCAGGTCACATATATATATTTAATGTCCTCATTAACGAAGTATGTATTTGCCTGTCAGCAGACGGGTCCACTCTTAGATTAATGTCTGTTATTGCTAATGCCAGTTTGTATACGCAATAGTATTTGGATACTAGTACGTGCTACTCCAATCTCTAACTCTTATGCACTTCTCTGTGCCTTTTTTTTCATAACTGTGACAGACAAGATGAGCATATGATGTGTAGGTGAATGTGACTATATTCACTACTATATGAGTTTGGCAGACCATATTTCTATAAACATACTGATATGTGTTGTAAATAGATCCATGTATATAGTAGAGCAAACAAGGAACAAAATTACAGAAACTTTTTAGCCATAACCAGACATTTTGAAGAAATGAGTTACTGAGCCTGGATAGTCCAGAGGGACAAGTAACATAACATAATCTACAAAAACAGTGTTATGCATCTGCTTTGGAAACGGACTGGGGTCTTAAAAGCTTATAAGCAGTGCTTGCTTTAGCAGCACGTATACTAAAATTGGAAAGATACAGAGAACATTAGCATGGCTCTTGTAAAAAGATGATGCTCAGATTCGTGAAGCATTTGGAACATTGATTTTTCCAAGAAAGTGCTGTGGTTATAGGTGCCAGGCAGTTGTCATAGCGACCCTATGAACAATTGGGAGCCTTGTCTTATCTTGCATTATTTTCATTATCTCCAACATACTACAAGCAGAAAACATACTGGATCTTGTTTCTGAATGACAGACCCATTCTTGACCACTAAGCAAAACATAATGTAGGTAGGTAGCTTTAATGTCAGCATTAGGGCACTAAGGTTATCTTGAACCCAGACTACTATAGTAGATGGGAATGGGTCTGACCTAGAATATTGGCTTCTGCTATGGAACTCAAACCTTTCAATTATTTTCTTACAGCTTTTTACAGAACCTGGTACTAATGAAGAAAAACGGCGCCAAAGTGATTTGTTTTCACTATTATTTCTAGCCCTTGGCATTATTTCTTTCATTACATTTTTCCTTCAGGTAAGTGTCTTCATTTTCATTATCTTTAGGAATTGTGCTATTTGGTTGGAATGCATAGATACAGAATTTCCAAGAGCTCTGGTTGCACGGTGGTTAAAACTCCAGGCTGTTAACTAGAATGTTGGCCACTAAAACCCATCAACTGTACCACAGATGTGGGAGTCTACTTTCATCAAAATTTACAACTTTGAAAGCTCAATGGGGCAGTTCTCCTCTACTCTCTCAGGTCACTGTGAGTTGTAATCAATCCAGGGGGTTTGATTTTTGGTGATAAGTGTGCTCTCTAGAACAGTTGTTGTTCTATTTAAGGGGAGCTCTGATAGCATAGTCCACAGGAGTTACACTGTTAACCCAAAGACTGAGAATCTCCAGTGGCTCAGATCCACCAGTAGTTTTATGGGAGAAAAGTGAACAAACAACGTCCTCTCATGCAATTTACAGTCTCAGAAACCCAGTTGAAGGTCAGCTATGAGTTGGTTTTAGCACAGTGGCCATGAGATTGAGCTCTTCTGTTGACTTCGCTGTTAGTAAGTCCAAGATTATAAATCACAAGTTTCTTTAACGTACGTAAAGCAATGATATTTCACTTTCTCTGGCTCCCTTACTTGCTTTCTTCCACCCTTACAACTAGAAATCCTGTTGAAACTAACGGTAACAGTATCTGACTTAATATAATGACTGAGAATGAAAACTTGCGTCTCCTTATGGGATTTGAGTGAGCCATGGAAGTTTGGATATAATAACTACCAGTCCATTAAAGTACTGAAATGTTTTCCTGTGTTCTAAAAATAATAACAGTAAACAGAACCACTTAAGTAAGCTACGCATAGTTAAACAATATATGTAATATATGATTAAGTATTATTTGCATAACAGTCCTGAATAAGAGCTGGAGTTGGGTGGCGGTGGGGAATTGTGCAACAGTGAAAGACTTTTGTTTTTCAAAGAGGAAAGCCATTTGGGGGGCAGGGAGGGAAATGTGCAACAGTGAATGAATGGAAATCCAAGTTCCCTATAAACTTTCATTAAAATCTCAATTGAAAAAAATCTGAAGAGTTCATCATCCAGCTTTTACAAAAGAATTTTTATGCTCAATTTTTTAAAATATTTTAATGAAAGTTCATAGAGAATTTGGATTTCCATTAATTCATTGTTGCACATTTTCCTCCCTGCCTGCTTCCACCTCTGAGTTCACTTTTCTCTTTGAAAAAAAAATCGTTCATTGTTGTACAATACTCTCCACAGTCCACTTTACTATGCAGCTCTTATTCTGGACTATTGTCATGCAAATAATGCCTAATCATATATTCCTTTTTAGCAGTTCTTTCCCTCATCTGTTTCAATGCAGTGTACATTATTTATCTCTTCTTTTCTTAGTTTCCCCTCGACCCCCATGTCAGTCCTGTTTTATAAGAGTGGTACTAATTAGCACTATTTGTGGCAAATTTGTGGCAATATTTGTCCTTTTGTTACTGAGATATTTCACTCAGCATAATGTCCTCCAAGGTCACCCATTTTTTATAATATTTAGTGAGTTCCTCATTTTTCAGTGCTGCATAGTTCATTGTGTAAATATACCACATAGCTTCTCTATCCATTTGTTTGTCGATGGGCTTTTCCATCTCTTTGCTATTGTGAACAACACAGCAGTAAACATGGTTGTGCATCTATCTGTTTTGGTAACATTTCTGATTTCTTGAGGGTATATTTTCAGTAGTTGAATTACTCGATCAAATGGTATTTCTATTTCCAACTTTTTGAGAAAGTGCCATACTGCCTTGAAGAGTGGTTGCACCATTTTACACTCCCACCAACAGTGAATAAGAGCTCCAGTTTCTCCACAACCTTGCCAGAATTTGTTGTTTGCTGCTCTGTTGAATTTTGCTACTGTTACTGGGGTGAGAAGATATCTCATATTTGTTTTTACAAAATAATTGTAGTGATAGAAGTATGCCAACCTTCAAGCAAAAATTACAGGAAACATTTGTAAAAAGTCTTAAGTTTAAAACTTGTGTAAAAAGAGCATGGGCTGTGTGGGGATAGCCATATCTGATCTTCACCAAATTCACAGAGGAACTGTCCCTGTTAACAAAATCAACAACACAAAACCAATTCTCATAAGGTCAGACATGTCCCTCAAGCTCCTTCACCTCTTTCTACTCATCCTGACACCAATATCATTGCTTTACTGAGTCCAAAATCCATTGTGATTGCTCACAGATCACACCAAACTATACTGGGGAAATCATAGGTTATAATTCAGAGTACAGTCAGGACAGCTTCCATAATGTGCTCATAGGCACCTCACTCTTGAGCCTCACTCACAGCTTTAGGTCAGTGTTACAAAGGTCTTACTGCCAATTATGCCAGCCCTCTATTCCTCCCAGCAAGCTTGGGAAAAAGGCTTTTAACTGGTTCAGTGGCAGAGCAGTTCCAAGATCCACTCTGTTTCATGTTTGGTCTCCGGTCCTCTGCTTTGGACACAGCTCCTGCTGTAGATTTTAGTTGGCACAAAAGCTTCTGGCCCCAAAGGGCAATACTACATGAATGTTTCCTCTTTGCTGATGGTGAGACTCCCATTCTGCTGCTGAATCCACTCAATTTAATGGTAAGAATAGCCAATCCACAAAGGAATTGGTGGGATTAGGCAATCCCTTTGTGAAATGGTGAGACTAGACAACCCTTGGCGTGATAGCTAATCTCCTTGTATATAGCCTATCCACCTACTCCTTTCCATTGTACATATAGTCAGAGAAACACAGCCAGTACCTGCTGAATAAAGCATGCAATGTGTTCTTCATCACAGGGCTTCACTTTTGGCAAAGCTGGAGAGATCCTCACCAAACGACTCCGATACATGGTTTTCAAGTCCATGCTGAGACAGGTATGTTGGGTGAAGGGTATACGGGATCCCCATTGTCAAGTTTCTCAGGGCATGAATCCTTGAGTTGGTATTTTCCTCAGTGTCAGCTCCATGGATCAGCTGCCTGTTCACTCCCTTAAAAGCAGGCTCAGAAGCGATTTTCTCTGGTGAGGGCAAAGAATGAGAGACAAACAAGGAGCTGCCACTGCAGAATCTTCTAGCCTTTTGTTCTCAGAAGACCTAGGCAGAGTGGTCGGAGGTGTTCATCAATATCTTTTGCCCCTCTTCCCTCTTCCCCAGAAAACAAAGGACACAGTCTTTCTTTCTTTCACAGGATGCCCTCTATGTCCTTTCTTACCAAAAGTAAAAATTCGTCTCTGTGATCCATTTCTTCATCACCCAGTTCTTTTTCCAAGGTAGACTGATGTATTAATTCAAATTATAGTGTTGTTAGCTAGTAACTTCTAATTAAATTCCTCTCACATTTTACACTATTTAATCATGCTATTAAATAAAATGAAGCTCCAAAAGGATGCCCCTGACAGACTAGTGGTCCGTAAACCCTGGCTAAAAAGCATCAGTTTGTGGCATTACACGTTCTAGATGACATACTTCTCCAGCTGCCCTTGGGTCCTCAGTCCTCGTTCATTCCTACCACTCCCACTCAGAAAGATGGTATACTTGTGAGAATTGCTAGCTAATGATTGACAGACCCAAGACTGAATCCCTGAATTGAAAGAGAACCATTTGATGGGGATATTGTCTGAGAACTTAAACTTCAAATTGTATTTATAGCTGAGATTCTGCTTAGGCTCTATGTCAACCTTGGTTTAAAACCAAATGCCTCATTAACCCACGAGCCTCTAGACCAACTCATAGGTCCGATATAAATCAGGAGCTTAGCTAATGTTTTGTGTATGACCCGCTACATAAATTACAAAGAACAGTAAGCACACATTAAATGTCTTCTTCTTGTAAGGCACAGTACTGTTAAATATTGTTAAGACATTCTAATATGGGTGATCCCTGCCTTCAAGGGCATACTGTGAAAATATATAAGTATATTAGAAAGCGAATTAATGCTCGCTATAGTAAATGATAAGGAACTCTGTGACCTACAGGGCAAAGAGTTGCACTGGCAACCCAAAGGCAAGCAATTTAAATGCTCCAGCTCTATTTTTTTTTTGAGAAAGATTGGCAGTCTTCTCTCATGCTGTTTATAGCATCTGCATACCTGCTGGAGGGTCAGTTGTGAGTTGATTCCAACTTGATGGCAGTGTGTTGTTTGTTGTGGTTACAGTAAGTTCTAGCTCTTTGTTATTTCTTAAAGATTTCTTTTGGAAAAAGATTACCTATTGTTTAAAGGCAAACCACCTGTACTGATAACTTCTCAGTACCAGTTATTTTTATAAGAAATGTAAATTATGCTTCAAATTAATAATTTTTTAACATTTATAGAATAAAAGAAATTGGAAGCAAGAGTGTCATCCACTTCCTAGACAGCATGCCTCTGGAAATTCTATGAACTTTGATAAATGATGATCGTTATAGAAAAGCTTCAGGCCTTTTGTTGATAGGGTCGCTATGAGTTGTGCTCAACTCGATGGCAATCAACAACAACAGAATAAAAAAATTAGGTAGTCTTACAAAGACATTACTACTTGATTTTGAATGCTGTTTAGTCTGAATTGCTTTTGTTGATTTGTTTTTAACTCAAGTTATTCAACATCTACATTTGTATCTAATAAGTATTTCCCATTAAACATGTCCATAATCGAACTGTTGATTCTCCCTTCCCTATGAGCTCCATTCTACCAGTTATTTAGTTCAAAACTTTAGAACTCACCCTTGACTCCTCTCTTTCTTTTCCCCCCCTATTTTTAATTTTATTAATTTTAATGAACGTTCACAGAGATTTTGGATTTCCATTCATTCATTGTTGCATTTTTCTCCCTGCCCACCCCTTCCTCCACCTCAGTTCACTCTTCTCTTTGAAAAGTAAAAAATTATTTCATTGGTATGCACCGCGCTCCCCCCACCCCCAGTACACTCCATTATGCAGCCTTCATTCTGGACTCTTGTCATAATCATAATACCCAATCATATATCACTTTTAAACAGTTCTCTCTGTTCTGTTTCAATGCAGAATACATAATTTATCCAATCTTTCTCAGTCTCACCCCAACCCTGATGTCAGTCCTGTTTTACAACAGTGGCACTATACTATTTGTCCTTTTGTGACTGAGATATTTCACTCAGCATAATGTCCTCCAGGGTCACCCATTTTGAATAATATTGCATGAGTTGCCTTGTTTTTCAATGCGGCATAGTATTCCATTGTGTGAATATACCACAGCTTCTCCATTCATTTGTTTATGGGCACTTAGGTTGTTTCCAACCCTTTGCTATTGTGAACAAAGCCACAATAAACCTGGGTGTGCATATATCTGCCCGGGTGGCAGTTACGGTTTCTTTAGAGTATATTCCCAGTAATGGAATTGCTGGGTCAAATGGTATTTCTATTTGCAACTTTTTGAGAGAGTGTCATACAGCCTTCCATAGTGGTTGCACTATTTTACACTCCCACCAACAGTGAATAAGGGTTCCAGTTTCTCCACAGCCTCACCAGCGTTTGTTGTTTGCCACTCTGTTATATTTTGCTATTCTTTCTGGGGTAAAATGGTATCTCTTAGTTGTTTCCTCTCTTTTTCTGTATTGGATATTTCAATACCATAGTAGCCTCCTACTGGTCTCACAACCCCACTTTAGTATGTCCACTTTGTAGCAACTAGTTATTCTTTTAAAATATAACTTGGATCACACTCCTCTGCCTAAAGCCTTTTGAAAGCTACCCTTATCACTGAGAGTGAAATCTGCAATTTTTACGGTTGCACAGAACACATAACCCTCTAATGTGTTGCTTTTAAACTGACAGTAGCCCTTTTTGCTGGTACAAGAGCAGATTGAGTATACTTTTACCTTAGGTCCAATACACTTACTACTGTTTCTCCCATTCTTTTTTTTCTTCCCCTGCCGCCCATAGTCTCATTATCCCTCCCTTCATTCAGGTCTTTGTTCAAAGGTCATGTTAAAGAATCTCCCCTCATCTCATTCCTTATCTGTAGAATAGCACCATCTCTTGATTCCCCTCCCCCCTTCTTATCTGTTCCTTTTTTCTTCATAGTATAAAGTGGAACCCTCAGCAAGACAGATTGTCATAGTGACTCCCAGTGACCTCCAGCGTATCTGAGCTTGTACGATGGTGCAGGGTAGGGCAAGGTTTGTTCATAGCATCACTGTGAGCTGTAGTGGACACAAGGGCACCAAACAATATTTGTTCCTCTGCTTCTCATCACTAAAACCTAAGCTTCTCGAGACCAGCAACTTCATCCTAGTTCACATTTTGTAGATGTAGCACCTGTATCCATGCCTCAAACCAAGTCGGCATTCAGAAAACTTTTGGCAAGTCAGCTTTTTATGTGTGTTGTTCAGATAGCTGCTGAGCCCCTAATCTGTATAAAAATGCAGAGGATGTAGAGATAAGACTTACCTACTCATTTCCCTCTGTTGAGTCAGAGTCTCATTTTTGTGGTGACCAAATAATAAAAATGACTTTCTGTCCCACAGGATGTGAGTTGGTTTGATGACCCTAAAAACACCACAGGAGCACTGACCACCAGACTTGCCAATGATGCTGCTCAAGTGAAAGGGGTATGTGCTCCCTTCCTGTCGGTGTTTGTCCTAATAGAGCACCTTTGACCTCAGCATGGGACGTATTTTCTCATTACAGGTGTCATTGCTTAACAGAGGCGTCAATAGGATTTTAACCAGAATATTATATCCTGCAGTATATTGCCAAAATCTTAAATATTTAAGTATACTATATTGCCAAAGTTACTGCTTTCAAGTGGGAATTTACTCACAGTTGACCCTCCAGCAAGTCTTCGGAGGCTATAAATCACACAGGAAGGAGATTTTCCATCTTTCTTCCTTGGAGTACCTGGTCAGTTCCCTCCACCGGGGAGGTGGGACCTTTCAGCTAGCAGCACAGCTCTTTACTGACTATGCAACCACAGCTCGTTAAAATATACCCTACAGAGTATTAGTAATTTATAAACTCTCCTTTTTACTTACAGTGTTACTCATGCCATGAGAAAATTTAATAGAAGAATAATTATTGTACTTAATCAATAGAAAATTGTGGATGGATCAGCAGGCCTCTCTTTCAGCTGAACAAGGGTTTAAAATTGGAAATAGTGTGCAACAGAGATATATCCTTTCAGCTTCTTCATTCAGTCTATATACAGAACAGATAACCTGGACTACAGGGGGAAAATATGTAGTGCCAGAATTGGAGGAAGATTTATTAGCAACACCAGGCTGACACACCTTTGCTTGCTAAAAATATGAAGACTGCTTGAAGAGTTTCCTGGTGAAAGTCAAAGATTACAGCCTTTAGTATAGATTATACCTGGATGTGATGTAGTAAGATACCCTTATAACCATACCAATAGATAGCATGATAACTGTAAAAAATCTAAAAAATTGCCAACTTCATTCTGTTTGGACCAGCACTCACTATAAAGAAAAAGGAGTCAAGAAGTCACATTAAGTCTACTTCAAATGATCTCTTTACATTTTTAAAATACAAGGACTTCACTTTGATGTCTAAGGCATGCCTGACTCAAGCCATGGTCTTTTCAGTTGTATTACATAGTCTTCAAAATCTTCATAATGGAAAAAAAGAGAAAAGAATTAATGCATTTGAACTGTGTTGTTGGTGAAAATTGTAACTATACCACGGACTGTGAGAAGAATGAACACAGCCCTCTTAGAAGCAGCAGGATGCTCCTTAGAAAGGAGGGTGGTGACAGAGCCTTGGACACCAGTGGACCATCGTCACCAGCATCCCGAGCGGGAGCTGACTCAGTGGCATTGTTGTGGGTTTTTTTTATCCTTTGGATACATTATTATGAAAGGCCAAAGACTGCGTGTTTCGTAAAGGACAGCATCAGTGAAAACTGGGGACACTCCTCATGTGATGAATTGAAACAACAGCGGCAACAGTGGATTCAGTTATGTCAACAATCAGGAAAGTGACACAGGGCCAAGCAGTGTTCTGTCCTGTCATATAGAAGGTCCTCGTGAGAGTCAATTATGTGGTAACAACAATATAAATAGCTAGGTACCTGCAACTGGAAATTTTCACTATTCCTAATTTAATATAATCGTATAACTCCTTAGTATTGCTAAATTACAAAACTTTCTTTGGCGGTGTGTAGCGGTGATGGCACAGAGAATAAAGCAATGGATTGCTACCCAGAGGGTCAGTGGTTTAAACCCATGAGCCCCTCTGAGGGAGAGAGAAAAGGCAGTTCGCTTTCATAAAGATTTAAAGCCTTTTTGGAATAACTTGATGACAGTGGCTTGGTTAGTTGATTGGTTTTAACGACCACACTCAATGAAGATTTATTTGGTACTAGTAAATCAGAAGAGATAGAAATAAATTATTCAACTCTAGATTACTGATCTGCTTTCATTATTTATTCTTATGTTTTGAAAGTTATTATTTTAGAAACCAACTAAAATTCTTCTAGGAAAATATTTTCTTTTTTAATAACTGAGAATATATTTAGGAGATTTTCATGAAATTGAATTTTTAGACTTGTTAAGGGTTTACAAGCAAGGATTTTAAAAGTAATATGAAAGTTTCACTCTAATTTGGTTTTGTTTGTTTCGTAGGCTACCGGTTCCAGGCTTGCTGTAATTGCCCAGAATATAGCAAACCTTGGGACAGGCATTATTATATCCTTAATCTACGGCTGGCAACTAACCCTTTTACTTCTGGCAGTTGTGCCCCTCATTGCCATTGCAGGAGTTATTGAAATGAAAATGTTGTCTGGACAAGCGCTGAAAGACAAAAAAGAGCTTGAAGGTGCTGGGAAGGTGAGTGAAACTAAAGTGTGATCACTTATCTACGTAGACAGAAAGATTTTAATCAGTGTTGTTTTGTTACTAGCTAGTACCATGGTGCTAGGAATACTGTCATAACCATACTGTAAAGCTGTCTATTTTGATACTAGTTTAGCAGATTAAAAGCTGAAGGCAATGAGGAAAGCCCATCCTTGGATTGAAAACTAATTTTCTTTAAATGGGCTTTTTGGTTTCAGGACATTGTCCTTTCTCCCTCCATTTCTTTCTTTCAAGATTAAAACTCAGGCAGTTTGGAATTAAAGTAATCTCTGTTTTAAAATAGAGGTTTGCAAGGAACAGAATATAATCTGCTACCACAAATCTGTATCATTGCAAAACTGAGAAATCAGAGTGAGACTGAGCCCTCAAACTATTATGATAAAGCAGGAATATATGTACTCATGAAAGAATATTCCCAAGTTCGCAAGAGTTAGGGCAGGAACTTGGGGAGGACAGAGTGGCACTGGTTCTCAGTCCACTCGTGTGGCTGTTTTTTCTGGGCAAAGTAACTCCCACCTTGGAAGGAAATAAGATTTGTACACGTTTTTCTTTTCTTTTGTTTGCTTTTGGGTTAATTTTTTTTTTTTAGCAAAACAAATGAAAAGCTTTGTTATGGCAATAAGACAGAGGCATAGATAGTGAAAGGTGAGTCATGCAAAAGAGTTAATGAAAAAGAAAGAAAAGAGGGAGAAAGGACACCTGAAAAGACAGGGCGAACCCAAATCTTACAGCATGCTGTCAGCCAAAAAGGACAGAGGGTGAGGGGCAAAGATCTATACACATTATTTTTTTGAAATTTTATTTTATTAATTTTAATGAACATTTACAGAGATTTTGGATTTCCATTCATTCATTGTTGCACTATTTTCTCTACCCCCCCCCAGTTCATTCCTCTTTTTTCTTCCTTGAAAGTCTATTTTCGTTGTCCCATTACCACAGTGCTTGTCAAAACCAGTTCTGATTAATCTCCTTTGTCAGTGTGTCCTTTGCCATTCCCTATCACTCCTCCCTGAGAGACATTTCACCCTGATTCATAAAGAAAGTGATGGCGTATTCTCTTAGCTACTTCCTGCTGAAAAGGGATGCTGTAGGTTTCAGGGTGAAGATCTTCTTTCACTACTCTAAAGGGCCCCTTTGGCAATAGGAAGCACATAGACTATTGTGGAGATTGATTTTGGAATTTAGATGCACATACACATTATTTTTAATGCTCTTAATAACCATGTTGAATTATTCCTGTTGAATGGCTGTAATGCCTGAAGTTCAGAAAGGACAAGTAGCTTGATCAAAGTCGCACAACCACATGTCTCCCAACTGGTCTTCCTGCTCCACTTTCTTCCATACTTGTCCATTTACATTCTGCATTTTTCATACAAACTGATCTCTTAAAAACATAAGGCAGATCATGATACCCTCTACTTAATACCCTTCAGTGGCTTCTGATTACACCTGGGGCTGGGGGAAGAAGTCTAACCTTTTTAGTTTGGCTCATACAATGCATGTTCCAGCCTCTGATGAGACCTATGCTCTTACCTTGAACCAGTTCCCTCTCTGGCCCTGTCCTCCTCTTTTCACTTCCAAGAATGCTGGGAACAGGTCCAGTGTCATCTTCCATGGCTAGTGCAGAGACATTGCCTCCTCAGAGAATGCGTCCTTGATCCCTTCATTCACGTTATCTCTAGGCACTTGATTTTTCTTTGTTTGTTGATGATGCCCAACCTTCCCTACTATAATGACCTTCATGAGGACCAGGGCCATTTTTTACTTAGAGGGATAAAACAGGCTCTGGATTCCAGAGATGATGTGATAACGGTGCTTGCTCATAATCTCCATTCTACTACTGAGTAGCACATTCTCTGGCTCCAAACTTAACTGCTTTTGAATTAGGGCCCCCTCATAGCTGACCTTTCAGCAGGTTTTTGGAGGTTATACAGGAGGAGATTGCCCATCTTTGCCCCTCAGAGCTGCTGGCGGATTTGATCCTCAAGAGACGCACTGCTGGTGAGTTAGCAGAGCAACTTCCTACACCGCCTGAGGCCTCGTTGACCATATTGGGATAGATTATTAACGAGCACTTCTAGAACGTGGATGTTGTTTCCTTTTTAGAAATTGTAAATGCCTGTTTATTTGAAGATCAGAAGATAAATATAAGGCTAGGTCCTCACTTCTCTAATAATTGTATCTAGACGTTCTTTTCTTTTCTTCATAATTTTTCAGTGCGTGAGTTACTGAAGAAAACTCAATGCTATGTACTCCTCCAATTGGAAGTTCTCTCTCACTTGGTTTCTGAGTGAGTCTCCATTAATACGTTTGAAATAAAAGAAGCTGGAGGATGCAGGGAGCTAATTAAGCCCTTTCCTAATTGCTTCATTGGGAGGCAATGTGAAGACTCTAATTTTGAAGTGATTATATTGTTTACTCGGCATGTGAGGTCGATGAATCATAAGCTCTTTCACTGCTGTGGGGCTGTATACACACTGAAAAGTGACTGTATTTATAAACCAATTATGAACAAGACACTCCTGACTTAAAAAATGATATACACAATATGTTTCTAAAATCTTGGATTTGTTTTCAGCTGAAACTATTCTAGTTGAATTTTCTTGCTACTATAGAAAAGTGTTGGATTTGTTGGGGTTTTTGTTGGTATTTTTTTGGCTTGTTTGAACCCTTATAAGTACTTCTGACATGTTTCTGAACAAAGATTTCCTTTGTAGGTTTGATTTGAGATAAAATTTTTGCTTTCTGTACTTCTGGGATTTAAAAAAATGAATACTAATTATTTTGCTAATGTGTAAATCTATTTACAACATATTTTAACATAAATGTAATCTGGCACCCATATCTTTATACATAGCTTTTGGTAAATGTATTTCAATTTTTTTTTTTTTTGCCTTTTTAAGTGGGAAAGTAATATATAATTTTTAAATCCATTTTTAAGAACACAATAATAGGGGGCCTGCCCTTTTAATACTATTTTTAATTAGTCCACAAAGCAGACTTAATGCCTTTATCATTTTTTTTTATTATTTGAATGAAAGTTTGCAGAGCAAATTGATTTTCCACTAAACAGTTCATAAAAAATTATGCTTCATGATACTGATTACAGTTCCCACATTGTAACAGTATTCTTCTCTCTTTATCCCCATTTTTCCTGTTTTCATTCATTCATCTTTCTCATCCCTTCCTGCTTTCCAAGCTTCATCCATGGATAAATGCTGCCCTTTTGATCTTGTATGATTGGTTGGTGAAAGGATTGTATCCTTCCTGGTGTGGTTGATCGTGCTGCAGTCTTGAGTATACTTCCGCTAGAAATTGTGTAATAGGGGGATGAATTCCATTCCAGGCTTGAAGGGTGACTAAGAGGTATATGGTATTTGGAAGTTCCACTAATCTATCAGATCAGTAAGCCTAGTATTTTTTATAATATTTACCATATTCCTTTAAAAACAGTTTATTCTTTTTGACTTAGTAATTTTACATTGAAGAAATAAGCTTAATCAATATGGACAAAATTGATGTACAACAATGTCTGTTTGTCACAATTTTTAATAAGAGATCTGTAAATCTTGTTTTGTAATAGAGAAATGTTTAAATGGCTAAAATATTAAGTGGTCTGTTAAATGTGTGATTATTAGTATTTACTGACCTTGAAAAATACATTAGTAATGTTTATATTTGTTAGTAAAAAATAATATAAAATCAAAAGCAGATTTTTATCTCAAGTTCATTTGATTTGCTAATACTTTTAAAATATGAAAACTAGAGAGCTCTGGTAGTGTGTATACTCCATTGGGAGTTGTACTGCTGACCCAAAGGCCATGCACCTCTGGTGGTGCAAATCAACCAGCATCTCCTACGGAGAAAGACAGGAGTGTATAACCTTGTGCAGTGTATAACCTTGGAAGCCAGCTGGAGAGTCAGCTGTGAGTCAGTTGTCATTTGACAGTAATGAGTTAATTGAATATTAATGTGTAAAATGTACTAATATAAATTTTATTCTATTTTAAACCTTTCCAGCATTTCCCAATATTGTTTTCAAACATCATGAGTAAAAATTATAATCAGAAAAATAGAAACATTACCTTTTTTTAAATATGTAAATTTCACATGAATTTAACCTGAGATCCGAAGAATTAGATGGTACCCTGCATTCATTACTGACTGTTCTGACCAAGAACATAATTAAAGGCCTGGATAGAAGAGGAGAAAATGTAGAATAGCACACATTCCTAGGGATGATAAAAAGATAGGTTTACTAAACCTTTAAAGACAAGAGAAGCCCCTGAGATTATCTCCCTAAAAATGCCCTTTAAATCTAGAATTGAGGCCACTCCTGGAGGGCCTTTAAGCCAAATAAGAAATTTGTTTATAAAATAGGTTCTACTTATTCTACTTGTAAGTACAATGCTTCTTTAATTAATCAATTGTACAAGACCAAATGGTCAATGTTTATCATAAAGGATAGATGAGAAAGTAAGGAGAGGCAGGGAAGCTTGATTAATTAAAGCAGAACAATCAGAATAGAAATAATGAAAATGGTACTAACACATTGTGGAAAATGTAACCAAAGACATGGAACAATTTATATTAAAAAATGTTAAATGGGAACCTAATTTACTATGTTGACTTTCACCTAAAACACAAATTATTTTTTAAAGCTATAGATATATACATATATATGTAAAATAGCTATAACCTTACATTTGGATCATAGTAGAAGGAACATTGCAGTGCATGTAAAGCACTGAGTTTTCAGGCTAATTTTGCCACTTAGGCTTTAGGCACGTACCTTTTTTTGTTTAAGTCTTCTCTTTCTGCAAAAAGATCACATTAGCTAATCTTCCTTCTAGGTCTGGAAATAAATTACTTTGTCTCTTTTTTCCATGTAGAAGATCATAGATAATGATAAAGAAATAATATCTAATGATAAAATTAATGTTATAAATCTGTCTTATAGGATTCAAACAAATTGCTGTAGTTTGCCCTTGCGCCTCTTACTGACTGGGTGGTCTCTGTTACAGATTGCCACTGAAGCAATAGAAAACTTCCGAACTGTTGTTTCTCTGACTCGGGAGCAAAAGTTTGAATATATGTATGCACACAATTTGCAGGTACCATACAGGTAATAACACCTGGAGAGGGAGATGGGGAGTGAGTAAGTTTTTCAGTTATCAAATTGGTTTCCAGGAAGACTTCTTTGACTGGAAGGTGGGAAACAGGTGGAAAACTACAAAAAAGGACCCAGTTGAGATGCCCTTATAATTATCAGAGAGAAATTACAAAAACCTAAACCAGAAAGTAACATCTCTGGAGCAGACTCTCCAAGAGTGTTTGACTGATGGGATTGGAAAAACACAAGAAAATACTGAGAATTATTGTCTGGTGTTAAGTTTGGATGTTGCTGTTGTTGTGTGTGCCATCAGGTCAAAACCAACTCATAGCTGAGCCTTCAGCAGGTTTTCAGAGGTAGATTTATCATCGTTTTCCTGCAGAGCAGCTTGTGGATTTGAACTCTGTGCCTTGGGATTGGCAATGCAACTTCTTAAAACCAGGACACTGGAGCTCCCTTAAGTTTGCAGAACGAACTTATTTCATAAAATGAGAAATCTCAGCATGTGGCTCTAGTCCAGAATTAATCCATTTTTTGAGGGGTTCTGGGACACTGAGGTGATGGTGCTTTCTGGGGTTGCATTCCTTCTTCTTTTTGCCCCTTTTCCAATGGAAGCCATCAGTTCTTCCTTCAGTGAACTCATCACAATGTGAATTCCAGTAATCATTGTGAACATGAGCAAGCCCAACCACGCAGTCTTTTAGGAGACTAAATATCATTGATAAGTTAAAGAAAAACACCCCCCACCACCACCACTACACACACACTTTAGACACTAGCAAGAAAGAAAGAAAGCTGTTTCCCAGTTTGTTTTTGTTTTTTTTTTTTAACTCACCATGCCTCCATGTGTTTCAGGATAGACCTGTTCTTAAGCTTGTCTAGGTGGACTTGAGCTATCAACCTTTTGCACAAGGGAGCTTTGGTAATAGTAAAGCCTTTCATTCGAAAGAAATTTCATTTGAGATCCATGGAACGGATGAAAGTAGAGTTGTTGTGACTGAAGCAGTGCTACTTCCTTGCCAGTCAGCTCCTCCCCACACCTACCCAGCCCTGAAGGACCTGTGGAGACACAGCGGGTCCACACTCAGCTGCTAACTGAGTGATGCTGTGAACTCACCCAGCAGCTCTGTGGTTGAAAAACCTGACGATCCGCTCCCATAAAGATTATGGTCTAGAAAGCCCTATAGGCCTGGTCTAATCTGTAGCATAAGATCTCTATGATTTGGAGTTCACCCAACACTGACACAGCACTGAATTCCGTCAGGCTCAGAAATCACAAGTATGTCAGCCTCCATTTGTCACATCTCTAACTCTTGCAAAGAGTTAAGTGCTGATACTTTTCTTCCCTTCTTAATATGCTATTCATAAACTACTTCTGTTTTAAAAATATTTATGTAACTCTCGCTCCCAGGGCCTCAAGGACCAAACTTGCCTGATTTTATTCTGTGTCACCAGGCCGGCTTAGCCCCTACAACTTGTGAGCGTTGGCAGATGTCTTGATAAACATTTGCTGCAGGTTACATATGTGTTGTATGTCCAAAGTGAGAAGGATAGGACAAGAAATTTGCTTTGTTAATCTCCTAACAGGCTTTTACTATTAATTAGTGTTGTTGTTATGTACTATATGGTTGGAACCGACTTATAGCTGACCCTTCAGTGGGTCTTCAGAGGCAGCAAATCGCATGGGGGAACATTGCCCATCTTTCTCCCATGGAGTTGCTGAGAGATTCAATTCTGTGCCACCAGTAGGCCACCAGAGCTTCTGGATCTATATTCCATAGCACATTTTATATTTATATCAGCCTTTTGAAGTGTAATTATATCTACATTAAAGGTAAACAGGTTCAGCAGTTGGACAGTTTTACAACTGGTAAGTGGTAGAGTGAATACAAACTCATTGCTTTGGCAATGTGAGCCCATTCCTGTCTGCCACACCTCTGTGACCCACTGAGAAGTCCGATTGAGTATCCTCTCTTCTTGTTTCAGAAACTCTTTGAGGAAAGCACAAGTCTTTGGCATCACGTTTTCCATCACTCAGGCTATCATGTACTTCTCCTATGCTGCCTGCTTCCGATTTGGCGCCTATTTGGTGTCTCGCCAGATCATGCCATTTCAGGATGTTCTTTTGTAAGTATCAGCTGATATTTATGATTCAACTCAAGAAAGTAGTGCTCAGCTAGATGTGCCTAATGCCTGAATACAAAGACCCACTGTGAAATCTCAATAGATGGTGGTGGTTCAGAGAATGGAATTTTGCCTCTGCATCTCAGTTTGTTACTCTTGAAGCAACTTTATTGCATTTGTGGGATTTAGTAACTTCCTCTTTCTCCAGTTGTGACTCACACTTACTCTGACCTTTCCAAAAGTGTCACTGGGTGAGTGACTTAGAAGTTCCCAGAAGGCATCGTCATTTGGGAAGAGAAGTCTTAACTCTGACCAGAGAGCCTACTGGGTCCTTTGAAAGAAGTTTCTGAGTGGTACAGAAAGGAGAGAGTAGAAAGTTAAGTTCTGCACACCTTGGGACATTCTTGGATAAAAATTTGGTTAAGAGAAGACTAGTTGGAAAGAATTAGAAAAATTCAGAAAAATAAAAATAATTGGGTTGGGATTTTTCTGCTACATTATACCCTTAGTGAGGAGAAAACAGGCCTGAATATGATTATACTTCTGACGTACTCATATATGAAATTTGGAAATGAAGTGTATAGAATCTTTCTGAACTGCTGGATTTGGTAATAGGTAGGACTGTACCCTTTAGAGCATGCCCTCATTAGTAACAGTCGACAAGAAACAAGTTTTACATTGAAACCGGAATCATATATGCATAGCCATATAATTTATTAGTACAATACATTATATTTCTGTTCTATTTAGAAATTGACTTGTGTATGCATCTTTGTTTTCTCAAGATAAACATACCAGACTTAAAATTTCCACTCACTGTCTTAAGTGACATGAAATTACTGCTTATGATTATTTCTAATCTTTGAAAAGATGAAAAGTAAGCACCACTGATATATTTGATGTATGCATTTTTCCCCAGATAAGTATTGAATTCATGAACAGTGATCGAACTTGGGCATATAGGATTGGAAAATATTTTGCTGTCCTTTTATGTGATGTTAAGTCAGAATCGACTCATAGCTGACCCTCCATTGGGTTTTCAAAAGATATAAATCACACAGAAGGAAATTGCCCATCTTTCTCCCTCAAAGCAGCTGGTGGACTTGAACTGCTTGCCTTTAGGTTGGCAGCACAATTCCTTACCATTCAGCCACAAGAGCTCCCTTTGGGACATTTATAGAGCAGACCTTTCTGAAGAGCAGCCCTGCCTTGGTTTCTAGTACTACTGGAATAGAAATACCTTAAGGGTGCAGCTTTAAATAATGGGAATTTAGAAGTCAAGGTAAAAGGCACAAATTCTAGGGAAAGATCTTTGTGATTTTCTGCTTCTGTAGCCCCAGCACTTTTTGGTTCTTTGGAAATCCTCATGCAGCATCTGGCTTCCCTCATTTGTGTTTGCTTTGGTGTCTCATCTGCTCATTTTATAATTCAGTGGTGACATTTAGGACAAACTCATACTGGCATTGCCTCATTAACATAAAGAGAACTCCATTCCCAAACAGGATTATATACACAGGCAGAAGGGTTAGGGTTCAACACATATTTTGAGGGGAGCCAATTCAATCCATAATAAACCTATTTTAAATAGACCCCACAAGAATAAAGGATAACAAAGCAAAGACGAGTCATGTGTATGATTTATTTGGAGCTGTTTAAAATCAAGTCAAAGCAAAGCATCCTGTGCTATTAACACATGCACAGTGTCCAGAGGAAATGATGAAATCTCAGTACTCTGAGAGGATTATCAAATATTACTTGGAGTTCAGGCCTACTGTTGTGTTGTTGTTGTTGTTGCTATTTTTTTTTTTTTAAAAAAAAAAGCATACAGATAAACATGCCCAGATAAGGACAGCAGAGTGGTGAGAATGAGGAGAATGATCAAAGGCAGCTGTGCGTTAAGAATGAGAAGAGTTACCAGAGAGGCAAAGGACCTTTTTTAACAGTGTTCCAGGACTTGAAGGGCTGCACAAGAGGAAGGAGATTTCTCTTCAGTATGGAAAAGAACTTTTCAACAATTGAATTGCTCAAAGAGCTTGCAACTTCCTAAAGCAGAAGATGAAAGCTAGCTCGGGGGAAGTGTCCTGGCACAAACACTGAGAATTGGACTGGGTCGTTGGTAAAGTTCTTCCCAGTCAGGTACACTGCAGTGGTTCCCACGTCAAGCATGAAGAATGTTAATGTATCTGGAGGTCAGAATCTGTGAGAAACTGTTACTTGGATTTATAAAAAAATTCCTTTCCCATCGCTCTCAGTTTGTTTCAGTTCTAAAAAGAACCTAATGTAATTCCAGCATCACTGACTTTGTTCATTTCTACTTAAACAGTAAAGCTACATGCATACATACACTGAACTTCTGTGCCATACAGTGATCATTTATTTTTGCCCACTGGTCCATAGGGCTGTTAGACCAGCTATGTTGAAGGTCGCTAGTCCCAGCAGAGCCCCCTCCTATGTCTATAGATACCGCCTAGCTGGCTGGGACTCATCCTCCAGCAGGTTAACCTGGGCTTGTTTGCACGGGGACAGCAGCATTCTGGGAGAGAGAACAAAGCACACAGAGCCCTCTGAGTCATGGGCTTGGAACTGGCTCCATTCACTTTCAGTACATCCTGTTGGTCAAAACAAGCCTCAAGGCCAGCCCAGATTCAAAAGGAGGAAAATAAACTCCCCTTAAACGGAAGAACTGAAAAGCCACATTGCAAAGGTGGGAAGAATACAAGGGGGGGAGGGAGGATAGGGTGATTTTGTGATCCTTGTATTACACTGATATGAACTGAGAATGAAAAGTAGTGTTGTTTTGTTTCACTCTATTTTAACTGTGTTTTGTAACTTTGTGTAATTTAAAGGCAATCCTCTAGTTGAAGTATCACCTTTTGTGCTTTGCAGATGTTAAGTCTATACACATTTTCTTGGTTTTTGCAGGGTATTTTCCGCTATTGTCTTTGGTGCTATGGCAGTTGGGCAAGTCAGTTCCTTCGCTCCTGATTATGCCAAAGCCAAAGTCTCTGCATCCCACATCATCAAAATCATTGAGCAAGTCCCCCTGATTGACAGCTACAGCACAGGCGGCCTGAAGCCAGTGAGTTCTGTGCTTTGATTGTAACACCTTCTCCCAGTTCCTGAAAGTCTTCTAAAAAGGAAAGTCAAGAAATACATTTTGATTTGCTAATGAGAACAGAAAATGTTTCTGCTCATGGGTTAATTTTAACAAGTGACAATAATGTATATTACCATTTAGTCTTGTAAATTCTTAGGGAGCATATGTAAATAATATCTGTAGAGCAACAAAGTATGCTTTTAAAGGCTTTCACTTATTAAATACTAGCAGTTTAACATATAGTCCTCATGGTATATTCAGAGCTTCCGACCAATTTGCACTGGTTTTGTTGTGGCTAATTAACCAAATTTAAAAAGACCTGGATTTTTAAAAATTCCATGATACAGTCTGATAGCCAACTGAGAAAAAAAAATAATGTAGAAGATGAAGCACTGAAATGAGAGAGGTAGAGAGGAATAGGGAGTCATTTCAGGAGCCTGATGCAAGAGATTTGACTCTTGCCAGGGTTCTGGAGAGTGGCACAAAGTGGCACTTTTGGCTGCCGTCTTTGAACAGGGCACTGTTGTTTCTGACTTTGCCTGTCAAGATGTGGTTGCTCTACAACCCACTGTGCTGTGCTGCCCTTGTTTTCTAAGGAGGAGAGTAAGCTTCTAGTAGGGTGTCTACTTGTCATTTTTCCCCCAACCCAGTTACTGTTCTGGTTCACCCACGTTTTACGAATTCATTCCAGTGTCATTTCACTGGACATAACTGAACCAGCAAGAACCAATTTATAGCCCTGGACATGAAGTTCACTACCTTCTAACATGGTAGAGGAGAGGGTTGTCCAGTGTATGTTTAGTATTGCAGCCATCAGATTTAATGTTGCTCTGATTCTAGGATAAATTGGAAGGAAACGTGACATTCAATGAAGTTGTATTCAACTACCCTACGCGGCCAGACATCCCTGTGCTCCAGGGCCTGAACCTCCAGGTGAAGAAGGGCCAGACCCTGGCCCTGGTGGGCAGCAGTGGCTGCGGGAAGAGCACGGTGGTGCAGCTCATTGAGCGGTTCTACGATCCCAAGGCTGGGACAGTGGTGAGCATACATTCACAATGATATCATTTCAGGGGTTTGTCCACCTAGACACCTGCAGGTATTTAACTCTTGACTATAAGCAGTGATTTTTCTGAAATAACAGTGATCCTGCTTGGAAAACTCTTGTCTCCAGCCTGTACCTTGAACTCTGTCTCAGCAGTGCTCCTCAACTCTCGTCTGTGAGCTGCCTTCTTGCCACCATCTCCTTTGCCTTGGATAGGTTCCAACATACATGAGAAGAGACATAAAGAAAGTGAAGCAGCCAGTAAGTCAGGAAGGACATTAGGAGACACAGTGAAGATGAATGGTAATCACAGAAAGTGTCTAAAGAAGGAAATCGTAACAGGCAAGGGTAAATTCTGTGGAGAAATAGGGTCAGATGAAGATGAAAAGATATCACGAGATGTAGCAGCTAATAGGCTATTGACAACATTTTCAGTTATTCCCAGTGAAGCCGGATTAGTAGGCAACTAGTTCAGTGTGGATGAGAGATGGTTAGGAGGTTAAACTAGAGGCCTAAGTGAATACAGACCACCAAGAACATTGAAAGTGAAAGAAAAGCATCAATGAGAAGAGTTGCTTGAGGGGAGTGGCAGAGTTCAGGAAATTTATTAGGAGGCGAAAACGTGAGTATTGTTACAGCTGTAAGAGAAAACCATTGACTTTTGCTCTATAGAGAACACCAAAATGCCTTCTAAAGAAAACAAAAATGAGGTCAACAAATCTGAGAAGTAAATAATGGAATTGGAGGAATTTATTTTTGTTTTCTGAACTGGAACAGTGAGTGAAGCATCCTGTTTATTCAGTCATCACTCACCAGACCTGTATTGAATGCCTGTCAGAGGCCACCTTAAATAGTAGGGATGAGATGGGAATATAGAAGGAAGTAATGAAATATAAAGGGCCCTGGTCCCATAGCGTGTTAAGTAGCAATCTGCTAACCAGAAGATCAGTGGATCTAAGCCACTGGTGGCTCCAGGGGAAAAAGACGGGCAGTCTTTTCCTGTAAACATTTGTTGCCTTGGAAACCAAACAGCAGGTCATTATGAATTGGAACCTGCTTGAACAAATGGTTTTGGTGGGGTGGTAGGTTAAGAGTTGGGGTGTTAATGTTCATAGCAGTGTTTATTCACCATTGAAAGAACATGGAGACATTCAAAATAATCCTACCACAATCGAATGGATTGAGACATTATGGTACATTCACATGCTGGAATACTACGCAACATGCAGGAGTAATGATTTTGTAAATCACTACCTAACTTGAGAGGGACTGGAGAGCATTATGCTAAGGGAACTAACTCTGTCTCATAAGGACAAATACTGTAAAAGACCATTATTGTAGATCGTGTATGAGGATCCAAAGGGGGAAAGATGAGAGAAGAGGTCTGAGGATGGGTGGGGGTGGTGAACTATAGGATCACACAATTTGATGGGTGTAGGGAGAATGGAAAAAGGAAATGGGAAAAATCCAGTGTGAAAAACAATGTATACAAAGTTTGTAAGTAAACCAGTCTAAAATAAAAAATTCATTAAAAAAAAAAGAGTTGGGGTGTTAACCAAAGGTTAAGCTGGGCAAGCCCACAGCTGCTCCTCAGGTAAAAAGATGAGGCAGCCTCTTCCCATTAAGATTTACAGCCTTAGAAACATGATAGTTCCCATCAGTCTGAATCGATGGACAGCTGTGAGTTTAATAGGATTGAAGGTAAGACATTTTCATTGTTGTTGTTGTTATGTGCCGTCGAGTCGCTTGCGACTCATAGCGACCCTATGTACAACAGCCCTAAACTCTGCTCTGCCCTGTGTCTCTGACATTCTCATCCCGATTATCCCAGTCACTGAATCAATCCACCTCATAGAGGGTCTTCCTCTCCTGCGCTGTCCCTCCACCCTACCAAGCATGATGTCCCTCTCCAAGGACCGGTCTTTCCTTACAACATGTCCAAAGTATGTTAGACGGAGCCTCAGAATCCTTGCCTCCAAGGAGCTGCCTGGGTTAACCCTTTCCAGGATGAATCTGTTTTTTTTTCTAGCAGTCCATGGTACTCTCAATACTCTTCTCCAGCACCACAGACATTTAATTGCATTAAGGAAATCAGCTGTCAGGGACCTCAGCAAGATGTTAAAGAGCAACTGTATCAGTCTAGAGACCAAAGTGTGCTTGATTCAGGCCATGGACTCAAAATTACTTGCTCTGCAACAGAGAGCTGGACCGTAACTAAGGATGACAGAAGAACAATCAATGCTTTTGAGTTAAGGTGCTGGAGAAGAGTATTGAACACACCATGGATGGACAAGAGAACAAACAGTTCTGTCCTGGAGAGGGTGAAACCAGGCTGCTGCTTGGAGGCAAGGATTTTGAAGCTCCATCCTACATACTTAGGGCACATGGTCAGGAAGGAACAGTCCATGGTGAGGGACATCATGGTTGGAAGGGTTGAGAGACAATGAAGGACAGGAAGATCCCAGATGAGCTGGATTGACACAGCTAGAGTAATAGGGGTAGGTGTGTCAGAAACAGTGGCTCAGGACGGGGCAGGGTTCAGAGTAATTGTACATAAGGTTGCTGTGAGTCACAAGCAACAGGATGGCACATAAGAACAACAACAACAGACAATTACTGACTATTTTTGGGTGATATTCAGGATGTTTAACAATTGATAGGACAAACAAGTCTTTCCTGATGGGCAGTGTTTAGGTGCTTAGCTGCTAGCAGGAGGTCAGCAGTATTGAAATCAGCAGCCACGCACATAGAGATGTGGTAGACTGTTTCCAAGTGATTTTGCAGCCTTGGAAACTCATTCCTATGGGACAGTTCTACTCTGTATTATAAGTTCACTAAGTGAGAACCAGGTTCAGTATGACATGTTGTTTTTATGCACCCTCAAGTCGGAACTGACCCACAGCTGACCCTCCAGCAGGTTTCCAGAGGCAGTTAGTCACATGAGAGGAAATTGCCCATCCTTCTGCAGAGCAGCTGGTGGATACAAGCTTGCCTTTGTGATTGCAACGCAGTGGACAATGAACAGTCAGAAGGGATGCCTGATTTTAGTGTAGTCTGCATGGTATAAACAGGGCAGAGTTGCATTAATTCCTAAAGTTAAAATAGTTTTTTCAAACTATAGTCTCAGGGCTCTTTCTATTTCCCTGTAATAATCAGCATTACTAATAATATCTTGTATTCCAAGACAGTTACTGCCTTTGCTCAGTCTACCCTTTAACAGCTGTATAAGTCTCATTACTTATTTTTAACTACCTTTTCCCTAGATTTTCTGTGAATTCTGCTTTAATGCTTCTATTTAGAGGTTAAAGTCTTACTAAAGGACCCTAAATGAAGACTTCAGTGATGTATGAAGCAATTGGAGGAGATACTGTTAGTTCTCAGACACTGATTACGGTCCACATATCACACACTTGGTGAAATGTTGAGCCCGTGATGAAACGAGGCCTGTCCTTACCCGAGCACACGAGGCACATACAGAGTGGCTGCTTTATAACAGCCAGCACTGCCAGTTATCAAGTGAGTCACATGGTGGCAATTTCCTGTAGGGCGTTAGCTGAAGTTAGAGTTAAAAATTAGTAAACCTAGAGTTGGTTCTTAAGAAATAATTAGCATTTGCCTAAGGATAAGCACTCCAAAGGCATTCTCTACAAAGAATAATCTAAGCTGCAGTTTCTAAGGGATTAGTTCACAGTAAAGGAAATACTCACTTATTCCTTCAAGTTGGATCTGACTCACAGTTGACCCTCCCACAGGTTTCTTTGATTGTAAAGCGATTGCTCATCTTTCTCCTGTAGAGCTGCTGGTGAGTTCAAAGAGAAGGGTGGCCGTAGGGTTCGCAGCATGAGTCCCTAAAGACCATGCCACCAGAGCTCTGTAGAAATAAAATTTGAGTAGTAGGACATTTGAGTGGTAGCTCTCAAATTTTTGTGATCATAATTAATTTAGGAAAGGCAAAAAGAAAAAATTCCTAGTGACTTTTCTACTGCACTTATAATTACTTTGTGAAGACAGTTTGTGATAGCAATGTATTAAAATTGTAAATAACAGCGGTAAACAGCACATGGGCAGAAATATAGATTAGTAATTGTATTCAGCAAATACATAAATAAGGAGAACAGAGTCAGTTTAAAACAGTTGTGATTCCATATAAAAACCACTCTAACGATTTTGAGGGAATAAGTATTTCATTCAGGGGGGTTAAAAAATCCACAAACCTTCACACTTGTGGCCATTGAGTTAGAACTGACTCACTGTTCACCCTCTAGCAGGTTTTCAGAGGCTGTAAATCACACGAGAAGAAATTGCCCATCTTTCTCCCTTGGAGAATCTGGCCACCTTTGGGTTTACCTCCCTGCTCACTAAAGCTCCTGAGTTCACTTACGCAGGCGCCTAAGTGTCTCCAAATAATTGTAATTGCTGGAATAATGGAGATAAAAGTAAGCTTCCCTTACTTGAAGATTGAAGAACTGCAGCTGTGACCTCTGGACAGGATGCTGCAGAAATTGACGCTAAAGTCAAAGCTAATCCAGACCTGAAGAGCCAAGATCAGAGGCTGGTCCCTGCAAATACCTTCCACATCACACGAGGAGTTGTGATGATTAAGCAAGACAGTGCATGGAGCCTGCTTGTCATAATGCCTATAGAATTGTTGGTGCTCAGCTATTAATCAATTATTATTTCAGAGTAAATACACAAAGAATAATATTTAACCTTTGATTAATTGTGCTCTGAAGGCTAGCAGTAGGCTTATCTATTAAAGTAGTTAGTCATTTTCATTTGGACATACATTACTCCCCACCCTCACCCTCACTTCTGTTGTTGTTTAAGCCAGTGGCTTTGAAGGAATTTTCACTGATCCTCAGAGTTCCTGATTGTATCCCTCCACTGTCACCCTTGCTGTGGCTAAATAACCACTGCTTTTCTGTCGTACATCTTGGGCTCCTAAGTAAGTTTTAGAGAGCTCTGGTGACATCATCCAAAGCCAGTTACATGACTA